ACATTAACAAGGAAAATAGTTGACCAAAAACATTCCAACTCAAGTGAACAATTGTAAGCCTATACATGCAGTATGGTACTCAGCATCCTCCTTATTTAGAATATTGATTGCCTCCATTTTTAGAAGTCTGTGGTCTGTTGGTGACCACCTTTAAAGCGCTCCATGGCTTAGGGCCGGGTTATCTGCGAGACCGCCTTCTGCCGCCAATAGCCTCCCACCGACCGGTTCGCTCGCACAGAGAGGGCCTCCTCAGGGTGCCGTCGGCCAGACAGTGTCGGCTGGCGACCCCCAGGGGGAGAGCCTTCTCTGTGGCAGCACCCACCCTCTGGAATGACCTACCCCCTGAGATACGCACGATATCAGACCTCCGGACTTTTCGTCGGGCCCTGAAGACACACCTATTCCATCTAGCTGGGCTGGCTTGATCCCATCCTCTCAGTTTTAATTGAATTTGATTTTAATTGGGTTGTTTTTAATATCTTGGGCCGAAATTATTTGTTTTTTAAATTGTTTTTAATTTTTATATGCAATGTTTTATCTTGGCTGTACACCGCCCTGAGTCCCGCAGGAGAAGGGCGGTATAGAAATAAAATAATAATAATAATAATAATAATAATAATAATAATAATAATAATAATAATAATCATCATCATCATCATCATCATCATCATCATCATCATCTTATTTAGGATAAATAAAATCTGCTCTCTATTTAAACACACACACACACACATATACATGTGTGTGTGTATATATATTTGTGTGTGTGTGTGTGAGTGTGTGTGTACAGATAGATAGATAGATAGATAGATAGATAGATAGATAGATAGATAGATTTCTAAATTTGCTTGAGCATATGGCAGAGTCTAATCTGTATCTGTTTCTGTGCATAAACTCTATAGATCCACCCATTACAGGAAAATGAAATAAGATGTGTCACATTTCTCCTCAGAAAATATGAGATTAATTGAGGGTCTCCATGGAATAGGAGAGGGGAACAATCTAAGCACCTATTTTCCTTCCAAGGCAGTTTTTAGCTTTCCACAATCAGAGACCCAGAAAAGTTTCCTGCATCTCTCCCAAAAGTAAAAAAGACCAAGCAAATTTATTTTATTTATTTATTTATTTTTCATATTTGTATACCGCCCTACTCCCGAAGGACTCAGGGTGGTGAACAGCCATAATAAATACAAATACATATAGAAGTTAAAAACTATTAAGAAACAGATTAAGTAATTTAGGCTCAAAGATTAAAAAACATCCAAATTTATCTAAAGAGGTTTAAAACCCAATTTAAAAGACAGTTTAAAAGCCAATTAAAAAGGGAGAGTTAGGCCAGACCAGCTTGTTGGAATAGAAATGTTTTCAGGGCTCGGCGGAAAATGCGTAAGTCTTGGATGTTTCGTAACTCCGGGGGAAGCCCGTTCCAGATGGTAGGTGCCCCCACAGAAAAGGCTCTCCCCCTGGGGGCCGTCAGTCGACATTGTTTGGCCGACGGCACCCTGAGGAGTCCCTCTCTATGGGAGCGAACTGGTCGGTGAGACTAGTTAATATAATTTCAATATTTCTTAAAAGAAAGATAAGTACAAATTAAGTTGACTGAAAAAATAGTTTCCCAGTTCTCTTATAGGCTAACAATATCACTCCTAATATTGTTAGGATCACTTCTTTCTAAATCTTTAAAAGTTATTTTAAAAACCCTCTCTTGTGATAGGTGGGGGAAATTCCTCAATCTCCCCTATTTAAAGGATCCCTAGAATGGTTAGCATAGACAACTTGTTTCTTCCAATCCCACTTTAGACACTTCGTATTTTCTTCTTCTTTATACAAGGAAACTGCACTGACATACTACAAGAATGGAATTCAAACACATCCACAATTATAAATTTATTCCACAGAGAATTCCTGTATCCCATAGGAAAATGGTGGCAACGCCTTTCCCCATGTTATCTATGGAGACTCCAAATTTGACCAACAGATTTCTATGTTCGAAACCTACCAAATTTAAGACAGATTATATTTACTTTTTTAATACATTCCCTATAATGAGAGTCCAGAAGAATCTTCAACTCTTTATCAACTCTACCATACCCAAAAGACAAATATGACTATAGCTGAGCCCAACATTTGTTGCTAAGCAAGACAGTTGAGGTTTGCCCGATTCTACAACCTTTCTTGCCACAGTTGTTAAGTGAATCACCAGTTTAAGTTAGTAACACAGTTAAGTGAATCTGGCCTTCCCCATTGGCTTTGCTTGTCAAAAGGTGATCAAATGACCCCTGGGACATTTGCAACCATTGTAAACATGAGTAAGTTGTCAAGTGTCTGAATTTTGTTCATGTGACCATCGGGCTGCTGCAATGATCGTACCTGTGAAAAACAGTCATAAGTCAGTTTTTTCAGTGCCACTGTAACTTGAAGCATGCCTCAGCAAACTGTTAAGTCCATAGGACTGCCTATACTCCTCTCATTGTGAGGAGGAGGAAGAGGAAGAGAAGGAGGAACAACTACAACTACCATCACCACCACAGTAGCAGGAACTGTATTACATCCAGGTATTTTTCCATCTCACTCAAAAGAATTGTATCCAATATTTCTTTGGCTTTCCCACACAGAGACTCATTTTGAGAAGCCCCTTTCTGTGGAATTCAGCAAACACCTATCCCAGACTATTTCAAAAAAAAAAAAATAGTTCAAGTGACATCAGGAGACTTAAAGTAACCAACACGGTTAACATTTTCAACAAAGCTTTCCTCTCTAGTGTCTTCCTCATAGAAAGGACTGTAGAACATCACTCAGCTACCCACAGGCCATCTCAAAACTTCATGAAGAAAAAAACTACCAGATCATTTGTTTTTTTCTATGCCATCCCATGCATCCCTCAAGCAAGAATGACAGCATGCTATTAAAAAGAGAAGAGTGGGATCATCACTTTGGAAATTAAGATCCCCTTCAGTCCACGTTTTAATAGCCTATTCTCATGAAAGAATGGCACATTCCTATATAACTAAAACTTATACAATATTTATTTTTCCCCGCAGGAGATGAAGACTCTATCACATACATAGTCATTACACAAGTTAGCTAATTTCATCCTAACTAGAAAAGAACCAAAAAATATCTTTCAGCTCTTTTCACCTCTATTCAAAACTTAATGGTGTTTTTTTTTGTCCTGTTGAGGTAAACTCAACCTATTTTAGCCATGCTATTACTGTATACAGAGTTGAAAGAGACCTTAAAGGTCTTCTAGTCCAACCCCCTGCTCAACAGGAAAACCTATGCCATTTCAGACAAATAGCTATTCAAACTTGTCTTAAAAACCTCCAGTACTGGAGCATCCACAATTTCTGGAGTCAAGTTATTCCACCAATTTATTGTTCTGTCAGAAAATTTCTCCTTAGTTCTAGGTTGGTTCTCTCCTTGCCTCAAAAAGACAGAAAATGAAATATGCCAAGCAACCTTCTCCAAACGTGAGTGCAGCCATTCCTGTGCAAGTTGGTGCAGGTTGGGTACACCTTTCCCTCAACCTGATGCCTCTGATCAACGGAACATTGGAGTACAGGTAATCCTCGACTTACAACAGTTCATTTAGTGACTGTTCAAAGTTACAACTGCACTGAAAAAAGTGACTTATGACCATTTTTCACACATGACCGTTGCAGCATCCTCCCCCATGGTCACGTGATCAAAATTCAGATGCTTGGCAACTGACTCATATTTATGACCTTTGATGCGTCCCAGGGTCATGCGATCCCCTTTTGCGACCTTCTGACAAGCAAACTCAATAGGGAAAGCCATATTCACTTAACAGCCGCAATTACTAATTCAACAACCGCAGTGGTTCACTTAACAAGGGAGCCAAGAAAGGTCGTAAAAATAGGACAAAATTCACTAAATAAACATCTCACTCAGCAACAACAGAAATGCTGGGGATCGCACATTCGAGGACTACCCTGTCGTAGTTATTCTCCAACCAGTCTGCAGAGCTCCAGCTTGGGAAATCCTGCTCGTCCATCCTAGGAATAATCCCCATCAAAATTACATTTAAACAGCCCTCTCTCTTTTACACCCTCCTCCCTCCCAGGCATGAAAGTCAGCCCCACTTTCCTCCCATGTTGTTAGTTGCGAAGTCGTGTCCGACCCATCCCGACCCCATGGACAACGTTCCTCCAGGTCTTCCTGTCCTCTACCATCCTCTGGAGTCCATTTAACCTCACGCCGACTGCTTCAGTAACTCCATCCAGCCACCTCATTCTTCACCATCCCCTTCTTCTTTTGCCCTCAATCTTTCCCAGCATTAGGCTCTTCTCCAGCGAGTCCTTCCTTCTCATTCAGTGGCCAAAGTATTTTGAGTTTCATCTTCAGGATCTGGCCTTCTAAAGAGCAGTCAGGGTTGATCTCCTCTAGGACTGACCGGTTTGATCGCCTTGCAGTCCAAGGGACTCGCAGGAGTCTTCTCCAGCACCAGAGTTCAAAGGCCTCAATTCTTTGGCGCTCAGCCTTCCTTATGGTCCAACTTTCACAGCCATCCATTGCAACTGGGAAAACCATAGCCTTGAAGTATACACACTTTTGTTGGCAGGGTGCTCTCTCTGCTTTTTAGTACGCTGTCTAGATTTGCCACAGCAAACCTAGTAATAACCCCCATCAAAATTACATTTAAAGAGCCCCCCTCTCTTTTACACCCTCCCTCCCTCGCAGGCGTGAAAGTCGGGCCCCCTTTCCTCCCATGAAGAGCCCGCAAGAGGTGAACGAACACACCCACACGGAGGCCTTCCTTCCCCGCCCAGCTCCTTCCTACCTCTCCCCAAGCCGAGCTAAAGAGCCTGGTTGGGGCTCGTCGTCCTCACCAGAGCCGGCCTGCAAGCTATCCATCCTTCCGCCGCTTCGGCTGAGGAAAGGCGGCGACCCCCCACCCTAGCTTCTTTCCTCCCCCCCTCACTCCAGAGAAGCCCATTTACCCCTGCGGGCTCCTCCTCACACAGCCCAGGGCAGTTTACCTGCTCGTCGAAGCGGTTCACCACAGCCTGCACCCATTCCACCGGCTTGTGGGCCGCCATCTCCCGCCGCCCGCCAGGCCGAGAGGGGAGACGGGGACAAGAAGGGTCCGGCCGGCGCCCCCTGCCCTTCGGCTCCGTGCAGCCGCCGAGCTCTCAGCTCCCCTCCTCCTCCTCCGCCGCCTTCTCAGCCATCAAAGCCCACCGGCCACCATGACACCACACCGGAAGCGGGAAACCGAGTCCGCCCCCAACACCAGCCCGGGCCGCCAAAGGGGAGAGACAAGTGGGAAGGGATGGAGGGGTGGGGGGACGAAAAGAGCAAAAGGCGCATGCGTGACGAGCTTTGGGGGGGGAGGAAAAAAAAGACGGGCAGACGAGAGGCCACGCGCACGCGCGCCGGTGCACGGAGGCTTAAGGAAACTCTCGGCCAGCAATGCGCATGAGCGTGAAGGGGAGGAGTGGCGCTTGCGCAACGGGCTAGGGAAAAAAAAAAAAAAAGGCGGCGCCAGGTTCGAGGCATGCCCGCGGGTAGTACGGCATCGGCTCGCGCGAAAGCGTCAGAACCGCGCATGTGCAATAAACGAGGCGAGACCCGGAAGTTGAAAGAAATACGGAGGAAAAAGCCAATGAGCTGCGCCCGTCCCGGAGAAAGGCGATGACAGCCACTGCACACGCGTTGACTCGCTCGTAGGCAGCCAGGTGTAGAAGTACTGCGCACGCGCAGAAGCCAAGAGGTGCCTTCCAGGTGTTAACAATCCCGGGAATATTAAATTAGTTAACTCACATATTTCTGCAGAAATGAAATAACATTGGGGGAGAAATTATTTAAGCTGCTCCGCAGGTTCTAGGATAAATAAAAGATATATCGAATATATAATGCATGTTATGGTTATACGATCTTAATTAAAAGGCTATTGCTTAATGCATTGTAAGCCGCCCTGAGTCTCCGGAGAAGGGCGGCATATAAATCAAATCAAATAAATAAATAAATAAATAAAATAAACCAGCTCAAGGACAGAAAACGGAAGGCTTCTGCATTTTTCTAAATATATTCTCAGTTGAGTAAAAACAAGATAGATTTGGAATAATGGATTTTGCATTTTATTAGTGTCTTTAAAAAATGCAATAGCTTCCAAAACCTGATTAACAGCAAAAAAAAATAAATGTTCAGATGATTCAAATACTAACCCACAATTCATTAAGGCTGCTTTATCAAAACTATGGGCTACGTTCCAATCAGTTGATTTAGAAGTAGACAAGGATCCTTGGAAACTTATGTAATGATAAAACTCGTTGACCTTTTGGTATTATATACTTCATTTGGGGGGGGGTTGTTTTGTTTTTAAGAAATGGAATAGGAGGTAGCAGATACTCCACTGAGTACTGAACTTGCTTTGTACTGCATTCAAATCTCCATTGTTACATCAGATAGTTTCCTCCTTCCTCATGTTCCGATTTGCTTACCATTTTGCCTGCCCCAGTTCCCAAAAACTCAGAAGGTTGCATAATATAAAGACAGATGATGCAGGCGCTGCAGGTCACAAAAGGTTATGCCTGTTGATGAAATTTATTAATTAGAAAAGATGGTATGAGGCTCCTGATGTTTCGCTATCAGACTAATTTGGGTCTCCAACTATAACAAATATGTCTATGTAATTTTTTGAACACAACATTTATTTATTTATTTATTTATTTTATTTTATTTTATTTTATTCAATTTGTATCCCGTCTTTCTTCTAGTGGACTCAGGGTGGTGCACAGCCAGAACTAAAACACATACCAATACAAAATTTAAATTTTTTAAAAAGAATTATATGACTTTGGCCCAAAATTTTAAACATTCAAACTAAAACCCATTGACAATTTAAAAGGCTAAAAAAGGGGGGGGGCAGTGTCACGCCAGCCCTGCTTGATGGAAAAGAAAAGTTTTTAGGGCATGGCGAAAGACCCGGAGATCCGATATCCTTCGTATCTCCGCGGGCAAATCGTTCCAGAGGGCAGGAGCTGCCACAGAGAAGGCCCTCCCCCTGGGAGTCGCCAGCTGACATTGCCTGGCTGATGGCACCCTGAGGAGTCCCTCTCTGTGGGAATGTACTGGTCGGTGGGAGGCTATCGGCGGCAGCAGGCGGTCCCGCAAATACCCAGGTCCTATGCTTGGGTACATTGAAGAGCTTTGTAACTGCCTTCATATGCATATACATATTTCCTAATCTAGCCTACAACCTTGAAATTTCCTAATGGGTTCTTAGCCAAATGCTAGCCAGGCCCAACTCTGACTAGATTTTGACCTGTGAAGCTTCTTCCTGCCTTAGATGGAAGAGTATCCTAAAAACAACACCATTTTATCCTGCTTGTTTTATGCAGGAGATGGAAACTGTTCCCATTTACAACCACAAACAGAATTTTAAACTGAAACTGAACATTTATTTCAAAGTTCTTCCAAGTGCCTAGTTTTTGAATAGGCAATCATTCCAATTTCAAAACTTCAACTTTACAGCAAATTTCTGTAGTGACTTTGTCCACTAGAGGTCACCAAAACTTTTTTCACCCTGGAAATAATGAGGAAGAACCCTGGGAAAAAAATGTATTTTATCTGTTTAAAAGTACTGGAATGCTGCATTTTTTAAGTTTCCTTCGTGTTGTTCATCCTTCTGCTCTGAGGCAACCTTATTGCTTAATGCAAATGTGTATCCCGTCTTTCTAAGCCATGAATTGCAATTGGGTTGTATTGTGGAAATCACCATTAAAAAGAAATGTAAAATGTAAAGCTGAGAAGCAGACTAAAAGGAGAACTATTCTCCATGAAAATTTGCTTCCTTTCCATTTGTGGACTCATATGCAGAAATAGATAATAAAGAAGTAAAAAAGAACAAAAAAGACAAGATCTCATTACATTGAGTTAAAAAAAATCTAGATAACAAGCCTATGCAATATTATTTTTGATCCTTGTTTTATACAATGTTTTGGCATACTCTGTTGTTTGAACTCATAATGGCTGCCAACTTGGATCTTTTTAATCCAGATGATTTAACCAATAAGAAATCTAAATCTAAGTCTCAAACTTTCTCCAATTGGCTGCTGGAAAACAATCTGGAGAATACCATGAATAGCCTTGAAAACAAATTGATTATCAAATAAATCAACCTGGACATCTTACTTGAGTCATAAATTATATTTTGAATTCATTACAGATGATTCTTGACTTGCAACCACAATTGAGCCCAAAATTTCTGTTGCTAAGTGAGACATTTGTTAGGTGAGTTTTGCCACATTCTACAACTTTTCTTACCACGGTTGCTAAGTGAATTATTGCAGTTGTCAAGTTAGTAACATGGTTGGTTGTTAAGTGAATCTGGCTTCCCCATTGACTTTGCTTGACCCCAGGACACTGCAACCACCATAAATATGAGTAGGTTGCCAAGCATCTGAATTTTGATCACATGACCATGAGGATGCTGTTATAGTCATAAGTATGTTGGAAGAAATACCCTTCTGGGTTCAGTTCCAAGTGGGGAAAAAGACACTGGAAACATGGAGACTGCTTGGAAAGATGGTTTAATGGTGGACAGGATCACATGGTTCGAGTTCCTGAAAAAGAAAAGCAGGGAGATGCTGCAAGTCCCCGGGTTTTATGCCCTATCTGGCTTTGAACTTCCTGGGGCCCAGAAAGAGTATCCTGATTGGTTGTCAGACTCCCAGGGGGTGGGGGTCTTAGCTAGCCTTGCTGCCTGATGTAATCTTCCTAGGTGCCATGTGGTGAGTTTCTGTTGCTAGATGGGTCCTATTGTGTTAGTTTCTGTTGCTAGATGGGTCCTATTGTGTTGCAGGTAATGGTCCATTGACAAAGATGGGAGGGAATTGAGTTTCTGCCTCTGGCCCATTGACAAAGGGGGGGGGGGCAAGAAGGTGGGAGCTGCTTCGTCTTTAAAACATGCTTCTCCATTTCTCATCCAGGGAAACATAATATTCTGCCTTTTTAATATTTCCTAAAATATTTCATTCTTCTAGGAAAGGGGTGGGTGCTAACTTCCTACAAGTATGAAAAATGTCATAAGTCACTTTTTTCAGTGCCGTTGTAACTTTGAACAGTCACTAAATAAACTATGGTAAGTCGAGGACTTTTCTCTCTGGGAAACCTGAAAGGAAAGAGAATGGGAGAATGAGCAGCAGCAAAGTGGACTGACTCATAAGAGAGAATATTTGTACCTTAGGGTTGAAATGAAGGCTTGGTGTTCTCTGAGCTTAGTGGTTTTCTTGCAGATATTTCATTACCAAATTAGGTAACATCATCACTGCACCCAGTTAGGAGACCTGAAGGACCAGACCCTGTGACAGATCATCCTGGAGAATGTCTGTCTACATCAGTGGTTCTCAACCTTGGCAACTTTAAGATGTTTAACATTTCAAATCATGGTATTACCTATTCTGTATTTCAGCATTGGTGCTACAAGTCATGTTCTGCAAACAAAGTATAACTGTACAGACTTTTCTGTTCTTATCATTATTTCTACTTGTAGATATAGAATAGAATTAGAATTGAATTGAATTGAATTGAATTGAATTGAATTGAATTCTTTATTGGCTAAGTGTGATTGGACACACAAGGAATTTGTCTTCGGTGCATATGTTCTCTGTGTACATAAGGAGAGTAAAATACATTCCTCAAGAATAAAAAGATACAACACTTAGTGATAGTCAAGGTTACTAATAAGCTATCACATTGTACTAGGAAACAAATAAAAACAATATAAATTGAAAAATACAAGCAACATGGTTATAGTAATAAGTGGGAAGAGATAGGTACTAGTAAGGAAGAGAAGAAGAATAGTAATACAGTCTTAGTAAATTATTTGACAGTGTTGTAGGAATTAGTTGTTAAGCAGAGTGATGGCATTCGGGGAAAAACTGTCCTTGTGTCTAGTTGTTCTGGTAGTACAGTATAGTATAATGTCATGTAAAATAATGTAATGTAATCTAAAGAGCTACCTGATGTAGTGGTTTGGGGCATCAGCCTAGAAAACAAGATTTAGGCATGAAAGCAGGTAGGTGACTTTGGCAGGACACTTAGGCCTTCAGAAAAAAGGTAGGGCAAATCACTTCTGAAATTTTACTAATAAAATTGCAGGGCTCCACGTAATCCTCAAAAGTCAACTAAAAGCCCCTCAAATATATAAGCCACCCTCCCTCAAATCAGAGGTGGGATTCACTTACCTTCCCTACCGGTTTGCAAATGTGAGCGTATGCGCCTCCTCTGCGCATGCGGATGGCCTTCCATGCATGCTCTTTGCTTGTGCGTTACATCCGGGCGGGTGGGCAGAGCCTCTACCAGTTCACCAGAACCGGCTGAATCCCACCACTGCCTCAAATATATTGTAACCTGAGATTACAAGTTTTGTTAGGATTAAGATAGGAAAACATTTGTATATGTGTCAATGTGGATCCTGTATAGCTACAACTATTCATTTACTGGCCATTCAAAGTTACAATGGCACTGAAAAAAGTGAAGACCATTTTCACATTGACAACTGTTGGTCAGGTGATCACAATTTGGGTGCTTGGCAACAGTGTCCTGGGGTCAGGTGATCCCCTTTTGCGAACTTCTGACAAGGAAAGTCAATGGGGAAAAAAGCCAGATTCGATTAGCAACCATGTTGTTAACTTAATAACTGCAGTGATTCATTTAACGAGTCTGGCAACAAGTTCATAAAATGAAGCACAGTTCACTTAACAACTGTCTTGCTTAGCAATGGAAATGTTTTGCTCAATTGTCATCAAAAGTTCCGGACTACCTGTACATTCAGTATGATGCAAAATTCAGGTATAAGCTAAGAACAATTACAGGAAGGAAAGAATTTGGAAACCAGACAGGTTGTGTGATTAAGACTCTTGTGATTTACAATACAATCAGAATAGAGCTGGAAGGAATATTTGAGGTCTTCTAGACCAACCCCCTGCTCAAGCAGGAAACCTATACCATTTCAGATAAATAGCTGCCCAGTCTCTTCTTAAAAAACTCCAGTGATGAAGCACCCACAACTTCTGATGGCAAGCTCTTCCACTGGTTAATTGTCCTCACTGTTAGGAAGTTTCTCCTTAATTCCAGGTTGCTTCTCTCTTTGATTAGTTTCCATCCATTGTTTCTTGTCTTGCCTTCTGGTGCTTTGAAAAATAAGTTGACCCCCTCCTCTTTGTGGCAACCTCTTATATTCTGGAATACTGCTCTTATGTCCCCCCCAGTCTTTCTTTTTTCTAGACCAGCCAACCCCATTCTATGGACTTGGACATTCCATAATGATGAAGTCGATTCATTGTGTATTCACATTACGATAAATAACACTGTGATCCTCCTGGATTTGAAGATGCTAGATAGATAACAAAGAGATCCTCATTACATTCTTTTTTTTTAATATAAACGTTTTATTTTATATTTTGATTTTCTTCTTTCTGTTGTGTTTTTTATTTATTTTTGATCCTGAAGATGAAACTCAAATATTTTGGTCACCTAATGAGAAGGAAGGACTCACTGGAGAAGAGCCTAATGCTGGGAATGATTGAGGGCAAAAGAAGAATGGGACGACAGAGAATGAGGTGGCTGGATGGAGTCACTGAAGCGGGCGGCGTGAGATTAAATGGACTCCAGAGGATGGTAGAGGAAAGGAAGGCCTGGAAGAACGTTGTCCATGAGATCGCAATAGGTCAGACACGACTTCGCAACTAACAACAACAACAAATGCATTTTGTATCTTTTTATAGAATGTATACTTGTATTTTGTTCCTTTTGTTCTTTTTTTTTTTTTTTGTTATAATTTTGACAGAAATCCATTGCATTCTGAATACCGGTAGGTGCAAAACTTAGACAAGAGATCTTGCTTATAAGCATCCTGACATCATCTGCTTGGATCAATGTAGGAACAGCATTTTTTCCAATACAGATAGTTCTTGACTTATGACCGGTCACTTAGTAACCATTTTAAGTTATGACGAACCCTGAAAAAGTGACTTTGGATTCAGAGATCTGATTTTCCCCCCCCCCAGTCATGTGACCACATTTTGGCCGGTCATTAACTGGCCTGCATTTACGCCTGTTTGCAGTGTTCTGTGGTCATGGGACCCCAATTTATGAGGTTTTTGTCAGAAAACAGGCATTTACTTCCAGTTTCTAGAAAAATTGCCCCATAGTGAACCCCTGCATTTGCTTTATGGCTGCTGCAAAAGGAGTCATAAAATTGGTGTCAGATTTAATGACCATCATGACCTATGATCATAATTAGAGGCTCAATTACAATTTTAAAACAAGGATTACGCGTATGATTTTATTAAATATTAAAACCACTGCAATTAACATCACTTGAAAGGCATTACATATAATTATGTAATATGATATTAAATGGTATAATTATATTGCTATTATGTAACATGCTATATATTTTACAGGAGAAAAAGCTTAGCTTGTATCTAATATCCTATTTAGTATCAGAAGAAACACCCGTGCAAGCAAGCGCAGGCACGCCCACGAGCAAACCGGTAGCGACGGGATTTGAATCCCACTACTGCCAATTGGCTGGCATCCAATTAAAAGCCATCATGAACTGAATAGAGAATGTAATGAAAGCCCTCATCCCATGTTTGGAGGCTCTTAGGATCTGAGGAACAGCCTTAGATCCAACTTGAACAAGATTGAATTTCAATTCATCCATGAACCCACTGATTCTGGAATTATTATATTGTATTATAGTCAAGGCTATGGTTTTCCCAGTTGCAATGTATGGTTGTGAAAGTTGGACCATAAGAAAGGTTGAGAGTCAAAGAATTGAGGCCTTTGAACGATGGTGCTGGAGAAGACTCCTGCGAGTCCCTTGGACTGCAAGGCGATCAAACCGGTCAGTCCTAGAGGAGATCAACCCTGACTGCTCTTTAGAAGGCCAGATCCTGAAGGTGAAACTCAAATACTTTGGCCACCTAATGAGAAGGAAGGACTCACTGGAGAAGAGCCTCATGCTGGGAATGATGGAGGGCAAAAGAAGAAGGGGACGACAGAGAACGAGGTGGTATTACAGTATCCTTCTCCTGCCATGCCCACCAAGCCACACCTACCAAGCGACACCCGCAAACCAGTAGTCAAAAAATTTGAAACCCACCACTGCTAGCCACCACTGCCAACACACACAGACACACACACACATATATCCGACAAAGTTAATGGCTGCCTAACCACCCACCCAGTACAGCCTTCACTGATCTGTTGAAAGGCGTGTGAATACAGCTGGTAACTTGCAGGTGTATCTGTGTCCACAGTAGCCTCTTTTTCCTTCCTACTTTTTCTCACCAAACCTGTCTGGCATTTTTATATACTTCCAGACTGGATCCCACATTGCATTCCATACATTCTGCTGGAGGGTATGGCAGACTCTCTGCCAAGCAGGTTGCAAAGTCCAGACAGGTCTGTGACTGTTGCCCTGAAAATCAAAACATGAAATAACCATCACGGGATTCTGGGTTTCCTAAGCAGGAACAACATCCTCTAAACACAAGAGCTTGTTTTTCCACAGATTCTCGAACTTGTTAACTTAGCACCAGGGGCGAAATCCAGCAGGTTCTGACAGGTTCTGGAGAACCGGTTGCAGAAATTTTGAGCAGTTTGGAGAACCAGCAAAGACCACCTCTGGCTGGCCCCAGAGTGGGGTGGGAATGGAGATTTTGCAGTATCCTTCCCCTGGAGTGGGGTGGGAATGGAGATTTTGCAGTATCCTTCCCCTGGAGTGGGGTGGGAATGGAGATTTTGCAGTATCCAAGCCACGCCCTCAGAACCAGTAGTAAAAAAATTTGGATTTCAGACCTGCTTAGCACCCTAGAAAAGGTGTACAAAGTTGACTTTTGTAGCATCTCCTGTTTTAACTGCCTCAGATCTCACATTGATAACAGTTGTTATTCATCAGAGACTTGGGCAGGGTGGAGCGCCAGACAGCTGCCAGCATCTTACATACTTACACTGAAATGGTTATTGCAAACAGAAAGGTTTTTATTGCTCCATCACAGACTGAGGGTTTTCTTTGAAGTCTTTGCAAGGTTTTGCAAGACAATATATCTTGCATACTTTTCCAAATACGTGCTTGTGTGCATGTAATGGTGTGGGTGTGGCTCTGTCGATATATATTTATATGTCCATGTGCATCTATGATCTCTGTGATAGAGAAATTACAGAATCTGTGGCCTCCCAAATGTTGTTCAATGTATGGCTGTGAAAGTTGGACCAAGTATGGATCTACGTACTTTCCGTCAGGCCCTCAAAACTTTTTTATTTCATCAAGCCGGGCTGGCCTAACTCCAATGGTGTAATTTTAATTTGAATTTTAAATGGGGGATTTTAACTGTCGGGCCAAATTGTTTAATATATTTTTAAATTGTTTTTAAATTTTGTATTCTATGTTTTTTACCTATGGCTGCTCACCGCCCTGAGTCCTTCAGGAGAAGGGCAGTATATAAATTTAAATATTAAATTAAATTAAAATTAAATAAGGAACGCTGAGCGCCAAAGAATTGAGGCCTTTGAACGATGGTGCTGGAGAAGACTCCTGCGAGTCCCTTGGACTGCAAGGCGATCAAACCGGTTAGTCCTAGAGGAGATCAACCCTGACTGTTCTTTAGAAGGCCAGATCCTGAAAAGGAAACTAAATACTTTGGCCACCTAATGAGAAAGAAGGACTCGCTGGAGAAGAGCCTAATGCTGGGAAAGATTGAGGGCAAAAGAAGAAGGGGACGACGGAGAATGAGGTGGCTGGATGGAGTCACTGAAGCAGTCGGCGTGAGGTTAAATGGACTCCAGAGGACAGGAAGGCCTGGAGGAACGTTGTCCATGGGGTTGCGGTGGATCAGACACGACTTCGCAACTAAAAACAACAAAAATCAAATTGGCTCAGAGAGAACAATCAATGGTTCTGGTCTCTTCAACCCACTATTCTATCTCCTACCTTTAGGATGGGAGATCAGGACTATTCTTGCTTATCTTTGGCCTTTCTTTGAATAGTTAAGCACAACAAAGTGTTGGATTGCACCTGACAGTCTTTAAGCAAGTACTGAAGCCATTTCAAATTTTAGAAACATTTTTGGAAAGATGATGTGGATTGGGGCTTTGCTTTACAACAGGGGTCCCCAATCTCTGGTCCGTGGAGCAGTACCGCATCACGGCATGCCAGAAATGGGGCCACGCAAACAAGCAAAGCCTCACCTGCGGGATGCAGGCAGCAGACAAAACCCTGCCCCTCCAGTCTGCAGAAAAGCCTCTCTCCATGGAACCTTTTGATTAAAAAAAATGTCTTTAGTCAAGTTTTTTTTTTTTTTTTTTTTTTTTTTCCTATCCTTTTTTTTTTTTTTTTTTTGTGGCAAGCTTTTGCAAAACCCTAGAGTCCCAGGTTTGTAAAACCATAGCCCAAACAAACCTAGATAAGGAATCAAGGGTCAATAATTATGGAAAATATACAGGTAGTCTTTGACTTACGACCACAATTGAGCCCAAAATTTCTGTTGCTAAGTGAGACATTTGTTAAGTGAATTTTGCCCCATTCTACGACCTTTCCTGCCATAGCTATTAAATGAATCACTTCAGCAGATAAGTTAGTAATACGGTTGTTAAGGGAATCTGGCTTCCCCATTGACTTTGCTTGTCAAAAGCTTGCAAAAGGTGATCGATCACATCAGAGGTGGGTTTCAGCAGGTTCTGACCAGTTCTGGAGAACCGGTAGCAAAAATTTTGAGTAGTCCAGAGAACCGGTAGTAAAAATTTTGACTGGCCCCGCCCCCATCTATTCTCTGCCTCCCGAGTCCCAGCTGATTGAGAGGAAATGGGGATTTTGCAGTTTCCTTCCCCTGGATTGGGGAGGGAATGGAGATTTTACAGTATCTTTCCCCTGCCACGCCCACCAAGCCATGCCACGCCCACCAAGCCACGCCCACAGAATGGTAGTAAAAAAATTTGAAACCCATCACTGGATCACATGACCCTGGGACACTGCAACCGTCATAAGTAGAGTTGTAAGTACATTTGAGTTTTGATCATGGGGATGCTACAAAGGTTATAAGCGTGAAAAATGGTTGTCAGTCACTTTTGTCAGTACCATTGTAAGTTTGAATGGTCACTAAATGAACTGTTGTAAGATGAGGTCTATCTGTACTTCGCTCTTCAGAACAGTTGCTGTAATAGCAGCTGAAATGGCATCACATTAGCCCATCTTCCCATTGCAAAGAACAGAGAATGAACTAGAAAACAAGATTCAGAGGGCTTGCACAGTGGGAGGTTTCAAGTAGCAACTTTATCTAGATTATGTACATTCAGCCGACACACTCCACCGAACTCACCCTAAAGGACCTTGAATTCTGGTACATCTTCTACTAAACTTATTTTTGTTCACTTAGAAGGCCTGGCACCTTCAATTTACAAAAACCTCAAAACAACAACTGATCTAACTCTGGCTAGATCTCTGTGTTTCCGTAGTGAATTATTGCTATTTTCTTCTTGGTCTAGTCTGCCAGAACAATAAAAATAAAAATAAAAACATTTTGTTTTGTTATATCATTGGTTGGAAAACAGCAGTCCTACTTCAGTGGGTCAGAAAAGTGCTCTAAAGCTCAACTATAACTAAGAATAGAGCACAGGGTATTCATCCTCCCATATTTGGACTCACCAACACATAGCCTTGGATCCATTATAGCAGGAGGTCTCCAAAACTTGGCAACTTGATCACTCGTGGACTGGCTGGGGAATTCTGGGAGTTGAAGTCCACAAGTCTTAAAGTTGCCAACTCTGGAGACCCCTGCATTATAGTATAGGTCAGGGGTCTGCAACCTTAAACACTCAAAAGAGCCATTTGGACCCGTTTCCCACAGAAAAGAAAACACCGGGAGCCACAAAACCCTTCCTGTGCCTGACTATTTCTTGAGCGGCCACAAAACTAGCATATGTAGTTGAATTGAATGTTCTGTTTTCTTCTGAAACTTTTCTTTTCCTGGATTTATCCATGGTTGGCCTACCGGGGGTTGAAAAGCTCAATAAATCGCGTGCCAGCGGGTGTCACACATTGGTGGCTGTGACGCAGTGGTGGGTTTCAAATTTTTTTACTACCGGTTCTGTGGGCGTGGCTTGGTGGGCATGGCAGGGGAAGGATACTGTAAAATCTCCATTCCCTCCCCACTCCAGGGGAAGGTTACTGCAAAATTCCCATTTCCTCCTGATCAGTTGGGACTTGAGAGGCAGAGAATAGATGGAGGCGGGTCCAATCAGAATTTTTACTACCGGTTCTCCAAACTATTCAAAATTTCCGCTACAGGTTCTCCAGAACTGGTCAGAACCTGCTGAAACCCACCTCTGATGCCACTTGCCATGCACACAGATTTTGATCACGTGATTA